CACCAGCATTACGCCCCCTCCCCGCTAGACATCACTGTTCCCTCTGGACCAGCCTAGAAGCAGCAGATGACCACAATCCATGGCGGTTCCTGCCCAGAACCGGAAGGTCTGAGTTTCAAGCATTGGGGTTTAAAGTCTGTGCTGGCTTCTCCTCCATCTTCCCTCTGTAGCAAACCGGAAAAAGAATCCCAATTTCCCGTTGGGGTGGGAAGAGATGAGCTAGGATCAGGATAATGATTTTTAAATGTGAGCAAGGCATTTGACTTCATGTGATGTCTTTCCCCCTCACCCTCTTAATACATAGCTTTTTTTTTTTTTTATCATCCTTAAGACAAAGTAGCTGGCAAAATATTTAAGTGATCAGAAAGAAATATTTTTATTTGCCCGCGTGCGAATTGGGTTATCTGCCTATCTTGTTTATGAAATTTGGCGCTGCCTTTCCTGCACAGTACGCTCGCCTCTCAAATCTTTCCCGGCTCCCATTTCCATATTTCTGCGTGCTTGTTCTTTGTTAATCACTTGGCAAGCGCTTATTTGAATATTAAAAATTTCTTTAATCATCAAAGGCAGGAGCACAGTCTCATGAATATTCATATTTTCCCCCTCCTCAGACTGGATTCTAGTTCATTACCCTGCAGTAAAAGCCAAACAGCCATCAATCGCCCTCATTACAGGCTCTGGCGTTTTGATTGGCTGCCTGCTGCCCAGAGCTTTTTTTTTTTATTTAAAAATTTTTTTTCCCCTTCTCCTATGAGCTGTCTTGTACCTGCCAACAACCAAAAAAAAAAAAAAAAAAAAAATCAAAAATGCAAAAATAAATTTCTCTGGTTGGAAAACAACTTTGCAAACTTGTCAAACAGTCCTTGTGGCTTGCTTGCTGCCGCCGTCCCTGTAGTGTCCACCGGCGCCACCTCTTCCCCCCCCTCCCCCCCCCGCCCCTGTCCTTCCCCCAGCCAAAAAAAAAAAAAGAAGCCCAAGACAAAAGGGGGGGAGAGAAAATTAAATAAATAAATAAAAAGGGAGAAACTTGAGCCTCAGAGATGAATATTTGTCAAGAGAGTTGACGTAAGTTTCATTTGCATAATGACTTTGTACTTCTGCATTAATAAAATTTGCATATGAAGCCATGTTAATTACTCCTGATCATGCTTTTTGCATTCATGCATAGTAATTTTCTCCGACTTGTGAGAATTAATGTCTTGGCATGGGGGGAGGGGGCGCGGGGACTGTCAGGATCCCTTGCCAGTGTCCCTCACTCACGCGCGCTGCCTCCCTGGCTGTCTCCTTCCTTGATCTATGACTCATTTCTGCACTATCAGTAGGAGTTCTCTGCTTAAAAAAATGTATCAATTGAAAGGCAGCAGTAGGGTGAAAAATAAACGTCTCCTGCACAGTGTATTCCTGACCATCTCTCTCTAGCTCCGAACGTGGAATCTGAAATCCTCCCATTTGGGAGGGGATGCCCCAGAGGCTTCAGGGGTGGGGAAGGCTTGAAATCCCCCCCAAACCGGGCTGGGGCTTTTCCAGGCGTTTTTGTGTCTCCACGCTCCTGGGCGGTGGGCGTGTTCCTGGGTGAGTGCGCATGCGTGAGGAACGGAGCTGGAGCATCTGCAAAGTCCCTGGAGAAGGGAGACGGGTGGCAGACCCCCGTGGAATGCTTAAACCCATGAAGGCATCAAGAATGAGCTTATGCATCATTGCCCTGTTTTGGAGCCTAAGAAGCATTTTAGGGGCCTTGTTTTTAAACTTTTTTGTGTGTGTGCATAGACCTCCAAAGAAAGCGTTCTTTTAGGAGTGTCTTGCAGGTCTTTGTAGCGGGCTTTGCTCTGTTCAGAGCACATCCTCTTGCTCTCTTTGCTGGGCAGTGCTGGTGCCTTGGAAAGGACCACAGGGATTGGGCAGGTATCGGAATGGAAAGTGTGAGAAGGATGCTGACCCTTTGCTGCGTGCTTCCTCTGGCTCTGGCTCTGGTACAGGGCTGGCCTGACCCTTCCTTTAAAGCTGAGGGAGGAGCTGAGGCTCTGCGAAAGTGACTCACCCTCAACCAGGAGGCCAGGAGGCGGCTGAGGAGGACTTTGAACCCAGGCCTCTCGGTCCTGAAGGCTGTGCGGCGTGGGAGCTCTGGTGGCTTCCTCTGTGCATGTGTGGCTGCACACCCTGTCCCCAGGCCTCAAGGGCTCCTTAAGTGCTTTCTGGATTTCCCAGCTGCACTTTTAAAGGCAGATGCCCCTCCTCTGAGGAAGGATGGGGCTGGGAGGTAGGCTGGGACAGGTACTGAGGCTGTTTTTCCAAGTTAAGAGTCACGTGATGTAAAGTTGACCATTTTAAAGTGTACAGTCAGTGGTTTTGAGTCTAGGCACAATGTCATGCAGCTGTCACTCCTAAGTCCCGAGCATTTTCATCACCCCCTGAAGAAACTCTGTACCCACTATCCTCCCTTCTTGCCCCTCCCGGCTCCCCAGCCCCTGGCAACCGCTACTTTCTGTGTCCATGGATTTGCTGCTTCTGAGCATTTCATATCCCTGGAGTCATGCAGTATGTGGGTCCTTTCATCCCTTTGGGCTTTTGCAATAGTTTCAGATTTCTTGAGTTCCACCTTTGGGCAGGGCTCTGGGTTTAAGTTGCCCCATGGGGAAACCTCTCCCAGGGTAGAAGATGCTCTGAGAGCCCCAGAGAGGCCTTGAAGAGCTTGGGATTTGAAGCCCCTCTCCAGGTTGCCCCCTCCCCTCCGCCTCAGTTGAGCTGGCCCCTGGAGAAGGTCGACTTCAGGAAGGTCAGAATTCCTAATGAGGCCCTGGGGACCTGTCCAGGGTGGCCCAGCCCCCGACCCCTATGCAGGGCGCATTGCGTGTTTTGTGACATCACCTTTACAGACCCTGGCTCGAGCCCCACCTTGGGCCTTTCCATGAGAAGGGTGTGGCCAGATGCCTGTTTTCTAGCTGCTCTCCAACTGTCCCTCCCGCCACGGAGGCAGAGTCAGCTCCTTGGCACCTGGGACAACTTTACCAGGCCTCGAGGTGCTTCTGCTGGTTTCCCCATCATGATAAATGGTGCTGGCTGTGTTGTGGCCTCACCCAGAACCCAGGAACCGGAGCTTGGGTTTGGCCTTTGCAACTACCAATGGCTAGATTGAGCCCAGGATCTCAGTCCTCCTCCCCTGACTAGAGATCCTGGGAGCCCTGGTCCCTTCACCCCATTCACTGCAGCCCTAGAGGGAAGCAGAGCATTGTGGGCTTTGGAGACACAGCTGGGGTCCAGTCTCAGATATCCCTGAGCCTCAGTTTCCCCCCAGCAGAATGTGGATGTTTGCTGAGCGAGGTGGCTGTCATGATGATGGATGACCCAGAGTCCTCAGTGGTCTGCAGGGAAGGCCCACATAGGGATTTGAGACCACCAGTGGACAGGATCACATGCAGCGTGCAGGCCAGGGAGGTTCAGGCTAGGGCAGGCTTCCAGAAGGGGGCAGGTGCTGACTGACCTTCCTTGAGGAACGGTACTAAATCTAGGACCTGACCTTCCCATCAGCATCTGAGACTGGGTTTACAGGTTCCTCAGCCATGTTCCCCCAGGGCTAACCCTAGCTGAGAAACACCCTGGGCCCTAGGCCTAACCTAATATGAGGTCTTCATTGGCCCAGAGGGGTCCGAGCAGTGTTGGCGTTAGCTTTGACCTCTTGACGGGACACTGACAGTTGGCAGTCCCTAAGCAGGGGGTCTTGTTCAATGCCCCAGTGCCTCAATCCTGGATAACCCATGTTTTAGAGAAACCAGGGTACAGAGAAAGAGCCCTGGTTCTGGGGCCAGACAGCTGGGGCTTGGATGCGGCTGCTGATGTCTGCAGTCATGCCAGCAGTTTCCTGGTCTGTGCAATGGGTATCCTAAGCTCCACCCCCCGTGAGTGTGTTAGGAAGTCCAGTTCAATGAAAACTGACAGGCTCCTGGCTTGCAGGGCCCCGTAGCTCTTCTTGGGCTGGGGGGATCCACGTGGGGGCTCTGGAGTGGGCAGACCCGTAGCTGTGCAGACCTGTGCTGGGCCTCCCTGCCAGAGCCGGCCAGGCCCAGCTGCCCGTCCTCTTGTTGACGTTTCCTTTTTGTCTCTCTGATGCTTTCCTGTTCAATTATTTGCCCAGGGAATTTGGGCTTCTTCACTTGTGGTTTTGGCAAGGGCTTCACACAAATGTTTTGCCCTGGTGGTCTCTTAGCCATTTAAGATAAACGGCTAAATCAAACGCAGGCCTTGCCAGGGAGCTGAGCGAGCTGTGGGGCTGGGCAGAGGCGGGGCCGGCCCTGGCCCTGTGTCCTTGCTCTGTCACATGGCGAGAGGCCTCCCAAGCCAGGCTGAGATGTTAGGAGGGACTGAGCAGTGCCAGGGTTTTCTTGGGGTGTTGTGGGGGTGCAAAAGCCTTCTGAAGGGCATTGGGCCTGGGGTGCACATGCTCGGTGCTTGGGGCTGGAGAGAGCCCCCGCAGGTAGTCTGCAAGCTGGGAAGCTCACAGTGCCCAGACACCCGGAGGCGGGCGGAGCTCTCCCTGGCCTGTATGAACAGCCCGTCCTGAGACAGCACACAGGGGAGGCGCTGAGCTTCCCAACTCTTACAGGGAGGGCTAGCCCAAAGTTTTGGAAACAGATCCCCAAATGGAACCTGCTTGATTGCTCCAGAAGCCCACATGTGTGGGGTCCTTCCTGAGAGCGGGGCCCTCACAGCCCCCATTCACCAAGCCCCCTGCACGAGGCCCCCAGAGGTGGGGTCCTGCCTCCTTGACAGCCCAGCCTGGCAGCTGTGGAAACAGGGCCCTTCCCAGAGCCCCCTGCCCACCTCCCCGCGCCCATTCCCCTGCCTGTGTCCCAATTGCCTTCCCTGCTGGGCCTGGCACCCCTGGGGCCTCCCACCCCTGAAGGATGGCCTGAGCCGAGCCCCGAACCCCGGGCCCCATCCCACCCCGTGCCCCTCACACGGTCCAGGGCCCGACTGACCAGTCTTTTCTATTGTTTTTTCTCCAGGGCCGTGCAGGCCTGCCCAGCTGCCAGCGGTGGCCCCCATAACCGCCTCCTCCCACCCTCACTCATCCGTGATCACTTCACCTCTGCGGGCCCTGGGCGCTCTCCCACCCTGCCTCCCCCTGCCGTGCTGCAGCGCGCGCCCGGTCTCGGGTGACGGGACTCAGGGTGAGGGTCAGACGGAGGCTCCCTTTGGATGCCAGTGTCAGTTGTCAGGTAACAGACGACGTGGCGGTGGGGGGTGGGCCCCTGGGGATGGCGGGGTGTGCCGTGGGCAGTGCTGGAGCAAGGTGGGGACCCAGGGAGGAAGGGCAGCTCCCACCCAGAAGGCTTTTTGGGGTGCCAGGGGAAGTGGTGAAGAATGTTCACTGAACTACGAGCCAGTGCCCGGTGCCCCGTGGCAGGAGTCCCCACCGAGCCCCCACCCGTTCTGAGAGTCTTATTCCCAGAATGCTTCCCTAGCCTCCCAATCTGGTTTCTTTGGGTTGTTTAGCGGCAGCTTAATTGGATAACACTTAACATCTGAGGTTTTCTTCTGCCCTTGCCACTGCCACCCCTTCCCCCACCCCAGACAACACCCTGCCCTGCCAAGACAAGGCTAGGGGAGGATTCCTTGCTTGTCTGTGTACATTGCTGGAGCCGTCCAAAATGCTGAGTTTCTCTTTGGGAGAATGTGTTGCCCATTAACTTTGAAAAAGAAAGTGGCTCAAAAGGAGCCTCTTACAAAGCTGTGGCCACGAGAGGGAGTGAAACCCTGTGGGTGTGTGAGGGGCAGGGGTGGGGGCTGAGTACCTGCTGCGCGTCCAGCTCTGGGCCAGATCCAGACACAGCTGTGTTTGTGCTGACTCGTCCTGCTGTCCTGGGAGGGCGGTGTCCCTGCCCATTCTACAGGTGGGCAGACGGGGCAGGGTGGCCACACAGCCCTGTCCTCCTCTATGTGCTCTGCCTCTCCCCAGGTGGAACCCAAGATCTTATTCCACTTAGGGTGTCTGGGAATTCTTGGGGTCCCTGGGAAGTCAGAGGCAAAGGGCCCTCTCACAAGTCTGTCCCCGCAGCGTCTCAGCAGGGCCTGGTGTGAAAGCGCTGTGGCCACACAAGCCAGGATGCTGACACAGACACACGTGGCAAGTGGCCGTGGCCTGGTTGCTGTGGCAGGGGCAGGAAAGGAGAGAGGGTGGGTGCAGAGCTGGGGCAGATTTGATTGGTTCCTGCTTTGTCACCAGGCATGGTACAGGCTTTCTCTTGACTTGAGTTGTGAAAGGAAAACTGTTTTTATTGGGCAGGTTTTGTTTTGAATTGAAGCTGTCTCCAGGGACGGTCCCTGTTGGAGCCACAGCTCTGCAGAAGGCCACAGCCACAGCTCTGTAAAAGGCCACAGGCAGCCTCTGCTCCAGGGTCCAGAGCTCCCTGGGCTCCAGAGCTCCCTAGTAGGGTGGCCTGGAGCCTTTAGTATACCCTCCCTGCTGTGACAGGTGGTGACATTATAGGATCTGGCTTCCAAGAGGGAGTTTTGGCTTCTTACTGGGCTTGTGCCTTAAATGTACAAAGCAAAACCCAAAATCTCCGGGGAAGGAGTCAGAACCACTTGCAAAGACGCCGTCTCCCCGTTCTAGGCTGTGCTGGTCCCCAGGTGCTCAGGCCTCCCGTCCTGGCTCAGTAAATCTGTTCTAAGTGTGCAGAAGGCCCTGCTTGCTGAGCAAGGGGTGCCTGCTTCGTCTGGGTGGTTGCCCTGTTCTCACGGCTTCCTGTCATTAGCACTGCAGCCTCTGCAGCCACTGGAGGGGCTGTGCTATCAAAGATCAGCCTGAGTGTTTATTACTGGACTCGGTCAAGTTCTGCGGCAGCACAGAAATCTGATCTCGTCAGAGGCTCACCCAGGTCTTTGCTTAACCCTCTGTTGGCCCTGCTGAGAAGCTGCCGAAGTAGATGAGACTCAGCTAGAGGACTGAGCCCCTCCGTTAAGTGGCCAGGCCCACTTAGCATCTTTGTATGGTGCTGAGCAGGAGCTGTTACCATCCCCATTTTGCAGATGGAGAAGCAAAGGCTTGAGAGGGGAGAGTGGCTGGTCAGGGTGGCAGAACTGGGATTTGTCCTTGGTTGCCTTCTGAAAGGCCACCCCTCTTCCCATGGAACCATGCTGCCTCTGCCCACATCCATAGGAGGTCGAATGAACTTTCCACTGCCTTGGCTCTGGCGGACTCTGCCAATAGCAAGTCCCCATACGTGCCACTGGGATCCTTATGAGGACTGTGTGTGGAGGGCCTTCTATGTGCTGTACCGTGCTGGGCATTTATGTGCCTTCTGGAATTTAATCATCACAGCAACCTAATGCTTTACTCTCCTCATTTTGCAGATAAGAAAATGATGCTCAGAAATGTTAAGCTCTCACAGCTCACATCCATACGTCCGTCCCTCCGTCCATCCGTCCATCCATCCATCCATCCATCCATCCATCCATCCGTCCATCTATCCATCCGTTCATACATCTGTCCATCTGTCCATCCGTCCGTCCATCCATCCGTCCATCTGTCCATCCATCCGTCCATCTGTCCATCCATCCACCCATCTGTCCATCCATCCACCCACCCACCCACCCACCCGTCCGTCCGTCCGTCCATCTGTCCACCTGTCCATCCATCCATCTGTCCACTCGTCCATCCATCTATCCATCTACCCATCTGTCTATCCATCCTTCCAGCCTTCTGTCCATCCATCCATCCATCCATCCATCCATCCATCCATCTATCAGTCCATTCATTCATTCTTTAGCTTGAAGCCATTTGGAGGACACCTAATTTGTAGCACTGTGCACACACAGGAAGTGTCAGCAGGCAGGTCCCTGCCCTCCTGCAGTGCAGTGTAGGAGGAGGGACCTGTGTCACAAGAAGGAGGAGCAGGGAGGAGGGAGTGGCAGACATGGGATTTGATGCCGGGCTCTGCATCCAGCACCTGCCACATCTTTGGCTTTGGCTCTTCTTCTGGCATTAGAGGCCTTTTTGGATTTTAGGCCTTGAGAGCTGCCAGGACTCAGAGCCTGTGAGCAACCCATGCAGTGCTCTGGGAGGGGCTGGAGGAAGGGCAGTGTCCTGTTCCTGGGGTTAGGACTACAGGAGGCTGAGCCTCTAGGACCGCTCTAGGACACCCTTCTAAGGGGCTTCTGTTACCTCCTGCCCTCTGCCACCATGTCCAGTAGAGTTCTCTCTTTTCATTTGGTCCCAGTTCATTGGCCCACACCAGCTTGCTCCACCATGTTCCTGATCAATTTCGATACCTGAAACTGTCCTAGACTAGGTGGTTCTTGTCCCTTTGTGGTTTGTGTCCCTGGCACTGGGCTGTTTGCTTAAGTGTTTTTAGTGCCTGTTTAATGAGTAGTTGGAATGGAGTCATTAAGCTCCCAGTAACCCGTTAGGAAGAAGCTGGCCTCTGTAAAGACGGAACGGGCCTGCTGTCCTTACTTGATTTTGTCCCTTTTCGGATCAGGATGCATTGAACCCATCTCTTCAAATTAATATGGAGAACCCCAGTGTAAACGTGTTTCACACAGGTTAATTGCATGCCTGTTACAGAATCTGCGGTTATTTATAGAAGGATGTGATTTTACAGGGGAGGAAACTGTACAGGTGTAGGTGTTTGTGCACACCCTGGGCTGGCAGCATCCCAGGCGGCCCTGCCCCCCAGGACCGCAACCCTAGACTCCTTCCAGTGGTCACAGTGGGGAGAAGGGACTGTTTTTGACTCTGCTGAAGGAATGTAGGGCTTTAGGTCTAGGCATTCCTGGGAACTGAAATTTCTTCCCTGAGACATCCCACATAGCGGATTTGGCACAGTGGCTGTGGGGTCAAGAGCCTCAGACTGTGGTCCTGGTCTTTGCTTCAACTGGCCAGGGACCTTAAAGAAGTCATTGCTCAGTTTCCCCTTCTGTACATATACATGTATGTATGTACAACTGTATGTATGTAACATTTGATGACGAGGCTCCCGTGTTATTCTCTGAGACAGAGCAATGTGGAGCTGATGTGAATGGAGTGAACGTGGGGCTAGCTAGGCTCGCAGGGCGGGGCGTTGGGCTTTCAGAGAACGGTTTGGACGCTCTTGGGTTTTGTGTTCCCCATCCTCGTACCCTTCCCTGTTCTCAAGCTTCCACGATTGGAAAGTGGTCGTCAAGTATATGAGACTGCTTGGGGTAAAGGCTGTTCTGCTCTGTGTAGTCCTTTCCCCTCCCCATTCCTCAGTTTCCCCATATGAAATGGAGCTAAGGATAGGACACACTCTGAAGGGTCGTTCTGGGCATCCCGTGAGATCCTATGGGCCAGATGCTGAGAACAACCCCACGTACCGGGTGTGCCCTGTAGAAGTTAGGGTCCATGGACAAGCAGAATGGGTTTCACGACATTGACACTCTGTCAGGTCTCACTTCAAGCTGGATCCTCAGTTTCCATTCTTAAAAGTATTTAGCCTCTTGGCTGGCTCAGATCATGTATCAGCGTTGGGAGGTGGAATAGGAACGGAGACACTTCATTACATATTTAAAAGCTGGAAATGGTCATCAGCCACAGTGATTAATACGTGCACTTGGTGAAGTTCAAGGTCTCATGCAAGAACACACAGGATCCCAGCTCAGGGAAGTGGAAGTGTTTGGCTTTAATAGAGGGAGTCAGTTGCAGTCATTAGTATATGCTGAAATCATAGGGCAATCTTGTAAAGTTAAATTCAATTTACTTTTCTACTGAAATTGTGCTTGCTGTGTTATTTAACTAGTCTGGGGTTTCTTGGCATGGGTTAAAGGGACAATAAAGATAAAAGAATACCTGTAAGTAAATAGTAGGGTTTAGCCATAGAATCTGTCCTTTCTCCTCCTTCAATTATATCCCAGTGTTCATTTTGTGTTGGTTTTATAACCAGAGCCGTCCAATGGGGCGCCGTGGATTAGACCACCCTAGCTGTGGAAGCCTGATGCAATTAATACAGTCTGTCTGGAAAGTGGCCTTATTTGTGGAAGTTTTATGTTAATGATATGGTCTGTGCTTTGCACATTTCATACCAGAACAAGAAGCAAGCTGTAGTTTCATTCTGGACTGGGTTTGATTAACACCGGAGGATCCATGGGAAGCCACTCAGTGATGCGGGCAGCGATGGCAACCTCACCAGGCCCCTGCCGATGCGCTGCCTTGATTCTGGTGCAGGGGGTGCCAGAGGCACTCCAGGAGGGCGTTAGATCAGCCACTGAGACTCTGGAGGGAGGGGTGAGTATGGTGATGAAGACAAAAGGAGCCGTGTGAGTGAGTGTGTGAGGACAGCAGAGCTCCGTCGTGGGGAGGCTGGAAAACGTGCTCATGGGATTCCCTTTGCAAAGTAACGTTTGTTGTTAGGATACTTCAGGGCTGACCAGACCAGAACCCAGTGTTGATGGAGGTTGGCTCGATGTAGGAAATGGACTTTCAGGGGAGTCATTAAAAATTTAGAGAGTCATCTGCATGGCTTGCAATGTCTACATTGCCCAAGGGCCGGTGGTCCCAGTGTCCTCAACCCAGCATTTACAGCGTTGTTGCTATTCCTGCGTGCAAGCTCCTTGGATTCTTCCCTGGCATCTGCCTGCTTCTTGAGGTCACACTACTGCAGAGGCTGTCCATGCCCACCTGCCTGGAGAACCCAGACGCCTGTGTCTGTGACCGGAGGAAGTGCCAGGAGAAGCCATGGAGAGCTGCAAGGCCCCCAGGCTTGGGGAAGCTGATTCTCAGATTGCTGGAGGTGGCCAAGGGTGGCAGGGCTTGGTGGGTACCAGAAAGTCCCCTGTCCCATGTAGCTGGAAAGTGACATTTCCTGCTGTACCAGCAGGGGCCAGAGGAGCTGGGGAGTCGGGGGAACAGAAGGGCTCCACTGTGGCTCTGTTGGGGTTGGAGCACCTACCAGCACGGCTGTCCTTAGATAAAAGAGGCCCAGCAAATCCCTAAGCAGAGATGGCTGCAGCCTCGCTGGATTCCATTTCACTCTCCTAGCTGGCCCTTCAGAGACGTTCTGAAGGCAGAGCTAAATCAAAGAATTCTGTTCAAATCCATATAAGATGTTGCTGTTTTTCTGCTCTGACAGGAGAGGCATTTGGAAGTGCAGTTTCTTTCTTTCTTTCTTTCTTTCTTTCTTTCTTTCTTTCTTTCTTTCTTTCTTTCTTTCTTTCTTTCTTTTTTATAGCTGTCTTAAAAAGGAGTTTGGCTGTTTAGCACAGCTGGTGCTCATTACATTATGCACTGGCAATAAGATAGCATGTGTAATTAATTTTTAATGCAGTGCTGGATGCAGCGCTTTTGAGCAGTTAGTGGATGTGAAGAAGAGCACTGGCCTCGGACATCAGAGACCTCAGAGCAAGACAGCCCCGTTCTCCTTTAAGGGGTATCGGAAAGTGGCAGAGGAGGCTGCCATTGCCTCTGTGTGGAGCGGACCGGCCCAGAAATGGGTTCTTGGGTGACCTGAGGTCAAGTCAATCGTTAACAATCCAGGACCAGGGGTCCCAAGAGATCATCTCTTCTAACCCCTTTGTTATAGAAATGGGGAAACCAAGGCAGAGAGTGGGGATGAAGCCTTGATACATGGGTGGCAGAGCTGACTCAGACCTGGCTCTGTCCACTAGGCCATACTGCCCTTCTTGAGTTTTTATTGAAAACCACAAAAGGAAATTTGTCACCAGGTGGAAGCCACTTACAGAATGATTTCTGCCTGACCGTGAGGCTCAGCGTGAAACCTACAATGAGACTGGGCACCAGGTAGAGTTCCAATGTTGAGGGGCCCCATGTTGGGCGCCTTGGGCTTCGGATTTGCTATCTGCAGTGGGAGAACTCCAGGCACATCCTGGGCTTGAGACTCTGGGCTTGTGCTTTGACAGCTGGCTGCCCCGTCCCCGTGGGTCTCTGTGACATGGATACATGTTTGAAGTTCAATGTCATTGTGAGCCTGTATTAGACCACAGGCATTGTGGGAAGCTCTAGAGATGGGGCCATCCTCGGTCTTTCTCTCTCAGTGAATGGGTGTGAATATGTGATCCCAGGCTAGCCACTGACTTCCTCTCTCCAAGCTTCAGTTTCCCCACCTGTCAAATGGGGACACTGAAGTACTTGCTCACCATCCCTCCATTGGCAGGTCCCATGAACAGCCACCATCTGGGTGTGGCCACAACCCATGACCAGCACCTGAGGGAATCTGTGAGTAAAGGCCAGTGGGAGGGGAAGGAGAGAGAAAACTGAGCTGCGGGAAAGCCTTTCGAGACTGTGGCCTTGGGTACCCAACATCCCAGTGATGACTTAGCTGTTGGAAAGCCACTTACTTGGGAGAGTTTCTTAGTATGAATGAAGGTGGGGGAAGGGTCAGCATCATCAGTGTTCCTGGGGCTTGACACTGTTTGCTAAAGGGCTGGCTCGGTCCTAGGCAAGACATCCCATCATCATAATGCTCCCAAGAGGAGGCACTCCCCCACCTTTTTGCT